AGTGTACTCAGGAACTAATTGTCCTTGTGTGTGTCCCTCAGGACCAAACCCTGAAAACACAGTCTCAACAGATGGGGTTCAGGAGGGGAGGTAGAAAAGGCAGAAAGTCACTTAAGTGTTATAACAGGAAATCTCAGTCTAATGCTAACAGGAGTGTCTAAGCATGAAAGGGGCAAGATAAAAATCACTGCTTATTGATATCAAAACCAAATGCGGAGCAGTTAAGGGAAGGAATAAAGGAGAGAGGCCAGAGTCAGAAAAGCCATGATGGAGGGTATCATTAGTAACTATTGATGAAATTGACAGGCTGATCAGAGGACAGAAGTTGAGAAGGGCATATAAGCCAGCTGAGAAGGAAGAGATGCTAAATGAAGAGAGCAAGACACAGGTTAGGAATGAAGCTCAGCAGGCAGAGCATGCTCAAAGCCCAGGGTTCCAGCCTCAGCACCACATAAAACCAGGCCTGGTAGGCAGTGTGGTAACATAGACTATTATCTCAGCGCTTGAGAGGTGGAGACAGGAGAACAGAAAGTTCAAGATCATGGTTGGATACACAGCAAGCTTCATAAGACCTCTCCTTACCACACACACATACAGAGAGAGAGAAAGAGAGAGAGATGGCTCAATTGGTAAAGCACCTGATACACAAACATGAATTTCTGAGTTTGAATACCCGATACCCACATACAAAGCCAGGCACAGTGAACATGCCTATAATCCCAGTACCAGGGAGAACAGAAGGATCCCTGGGGCATGCTAGCCAATCAGTCTGGCCAAATTGGTGAGCCCCAGGTTCAATAGGAAATCCCATCTTAAAATACAAGGTAGACAAAGATTGGGGAAGACGCCCAGCATCAACCTCTGCCTTCTACACTCTTGCACACACATCCACACATAAACACATACATACAGCACAAAAAAAGAGAGGGGAGACAGAGCAATGAAGGGGAACAGAACTACAGGAAGATACATAGACATAGCCCAGATGGAGGGGTAGAAATTGGTATCTTTGGCTAAAAAGCAGAGGTTGCTAGGAATGAGAGATTGTCTGGGGAAGGGAACGGTATACAGCAGAACAGTTATTGATTCTGAATTGAAGACAGGAAATCTGTTTGGCACAAATTTCATGGGAAGAATGAGCCATGACATGAAGGCCCTGCTTCTGGTAGCAGCCAGCGTATTGGCATGAAACAGAAACCCCATGTTTAATTTCTCAGTCATTCTCCTGTCTTCTCAGATCTAGGGTGAAGTATCAGAAAACCACCATGAGGGCTGAGACTAGTCCCAGGACCAGGAAAGAGGACAGAGTGGAAAGAGTTGGAGAGCCCAGAGAATGCCAACAGCCAACTACACCTTTTACATGGTACCCACCTCCTCAGTCCTATGCAAATATTGACTCTTTTAATCCTCTCAGCCATTGTTAGCCCTGATGAAAGCATGAGGGAGACTGTGTGGCTACGAACTGATAAGGCCAGGACTTAAACCCAGTAAAGAGGACTCCAAGGCCGTGTTCTCAACAGCCTTGTGTTAGCTCTCAGAACGAAAAGGTGGCAAGTTAAGGGTCACACTGCCATCCACGCGAAGCCTCTTGACAGTTATCATATAAACTCTACATTAAAGAGCTCCGCAGCTCCTCTCAGAAACTTTATGGTGGGTTGTTTGTGGGGTTTTTTTTTTTGTCTTGTTTTTTTTTGTTTGTTTGTTTGTTTTGGGTTTTTTTTTGTTGTTTTTTTTTTGACTGAGACTTTTTAAAATTTTTATTTTATTTATCATGGGGCACAGGATCACATATGTACCTAAGTACATACAACCCATGTGTACAGGTGGCCAGAAGAGGGTGTCAGATCCCCTGGAATTGGACTTACAGATGGTTGTGAGCTGCCGTGTGGGTGCTGGAACTGAACCCAGGTCCTCTGCAAAAGCAGCAAGTGCTCTCGACCACTGAGCCATCTCTCTAAACCACCAGAAGTGTGTCTTCTTTTTTTTCCCAGGCATCATTTCGAAAGCCTTCCTTTTTATGGGATGTCTTCCCTACTGGAGCCTAACCTTTTTCCCTGAGTTTCCACACATCCCCCCCCCCAACACACACACACTGGTAGAGCTGCAGAAGGGCCATGCATTAACCCAGTCTTCTAGAGCCCCCACTTCTCCAAGCTTCTGCAGACCACACAGCTCCGATGTCTCTCCCACATTCCAGAGACAGCCCCTCCCTTCCCCACCACCTCAAAACCAGGCTCCAGGCTGGCAGACACCCACAGGAAGGTTGCTCCCACAATCCTTTTCTCTTTGCCCTTTCAAGGTTCTGATGGAGGGGGAAGAAGGGTGGAGAGGGGCCACCCAGGACGTACTCTCTCTATGAAGAATGGTGACAACATGGACACTGGTCTCTGAGGAGAGACAAAAAGCCCTTGGCCCCAGACTTGAGGTGATGAGATGAATGTAAAAACTCCCCATTCTTCGGAGTGATTTTAGGCAGCTGCCCTCCATTCTGTGCTAAGACATTTGAAGTCCAAAACTCCCCTTTCTGGGCAGTCTTCCTGCAGCTACATCTCCATGGGGTGCCTCCTGGTATCCCTTCTCTCTGCCCCTTCCAGGGCCTCACTACTGTCCTGGACAGCTTGGCCTCAGCCTGGACAGTAGCACTGACCAGTCAGGCAAGAGAAGAATCTAGGCCGGGAAAGGGAGGGAGACTGGAGTCTTTTTTTTTTTTTTTCTTCTTTCTTTCTTCCCCGTCCTAAATAACTTTGCAGGAAAATTTAGGGACTTGTGTCTCTTTCCCTCCTCACCAGTGCTTCGGACCTCAACCTGTCTTTGCATCTCGTGCACACAAACCCAGCCTAGGGTGCCCAGAAATCTCCTTTATGGAAATGGGCCTTGCTACTCAACTTTGAAACTCTTATCCCTCCAGTCCCAGCATAAAGGCAAAGAACTTCATATGAACCCACCCAGATCTAAACATCCCAGCCTCCCTGGTCCCTAAGGGAAAGAGGGAGAGGAAGGTCCCTGGCTCTTCTGCCAGTCATTTCCCTTCCAGCCCAAGCCAGCAAACTGCAATGCAAATGAGTGCAGAGTGCCCCCACATGCAGAGTGCAGGTGGGGGCCATAGAGAGAATTTGGGAAATGCCATATCATCTCCCACATAACTATGTGACCCCCAAAGACATATGGGCACAGTGTGGAGAGGTGTTATTCCCCACACCCACACCCAGCAGGGTAAGGGAAAGCAGTAGGATTCTGCATTAGGGCTACACACGGAATGGGACCGTGCCCCCCCTCCCCGCCCCAGTCACCCCCAGTCAGTGGAGTCATTGCCATTTGATATCCACTGAGACAACTTGGCTGCTCTGGGCTCTGGATGGGAGCTGGGGGTGGGGGGAACGGCTCAGAAAACAGCAGTTCCTTTCAGGACCCAGGTTGGCAAGGGCTTAGGGAGGCTGGACTGGCCCAGATCACCCCCTCACTCCCCCTTCTTTCTTCCTTCCCTTGCCACCACCACCAAAGGCTGGGCTGGTGGGTGGAGGGATTGGCACTGCCTGGGTCAAGCCTACCGCCTCTGCACTCCAGCCCTGGACCCTCTCCCTGGCACAATGCCTTCCCTGCCTGCTTCCCCTTTTCCTCCTTCCTGAAGAACCAGCTATGAGCCAGGACACCTGGTTCCTCCTAGACTTGCTTCCCCATCCTCAGTCTACACCCCGGAGAGTTGACAAACCCGACGCTTTGGCAGAGGATGGAATCGCCATCATTCCAGGAACATATTCAAAACTCCTTGGAGATCAGGGAACAGTGCTCACGATGAAACTCAATTGAGCTCGCGGTAACTGCCGGCTCATGGTGCCAGTCTCTCAATGCCCACTCTGTGCCTTCCACATAACCCCAAACAGGAGGCTCCCAAATCTTCTTTCACCATCTCCTGCCCTCCAGAACTACCTAAAGCAGTCTGTCCCATAGGGAGAAAAAAAATTCAAACGCCACAGCAAGGGCGGTCTGGCCAGAAATCTCTTGTCAAAATTTGTATTGATAAGCAACCTGATCAGGCTTTAAGCTGTGCCTTCCCATGGGTCCAAATCTGTCTCTGTTTCTTTACACCCCTTGGTCAGCCTCAGCCTTCCCAGGACACTTCATTCCACACTTGCTGGAATGAAATCCCAAGACACTAGAAGTCCTATCCCCACTTTTTCTTTTCTTTTCTAGTTTTGTCCTTCTAGCCATTCTGGGCCTCAGCTCTCCTTCCTAGAATCAGTTGTTTTTTTAACATGATTGCCCTTGGCCAGTCCCTGTTGGAGGAAGAGAAAGAATGGGAGAGGGAATCGCTGGAGGATGAATTCATAGACCCTAATCTACCCTCTAAATCCAGAAGAAAGAGCCTGCTCCTTCTGATATTCTCCTTGGGAAGCAATTTGAGGGGTGTGCGTAGCGGGGTGGGGGGGGTGTCTCTCAAAATAGGAACCAAGTTGGAATGGAAGGAAGAGTGGAAAGGGAGGGTCCTAGGCACACCAGGCTGACTGTGACTTCTAATCCGATGCTTGTTTTTCTCCCCATGTGCAAACTGGTGATCAGAACATCCGTCAGTGAGTGTCACTGTGTGAATGTCACTGTAAGGGGGAGGGCTGGGAGCAAGAGTAACCTGTGCCTGCTGGGAGCAGGAGGCACAATCTCTATGCCCGCGTGGGTGGGTGCAGGCTTATACGTACTGAATACTCTAGTTAACCCGACGCGCCCCGTACAATTGCAGGTGTGCCAAATGACGAGGGGACATCACGGAAGCCCCTTTCTCAGATGGAAGGCCTGAGGGGACTAGCCTGAATAAAGTACCCTTGAGGAGGGGCTCTTCCCAGGGGAGTCCACTTGGAACTGCCAAGGCTGAAGGAGGGAGACAGGATTGTACTGCTGAGGCCAGCCAGCCTTGGTAGGGTCCGAAGGGCTAGAGGACCCCGATGTCTCTGAGTGGATAGGACCCCGGCCAGGACGGCAGCACTCCTTCATCAGGGCCAGAGTCTTACCTTGGCTCGGAGGTGGAGTGGCTTGCTCTGATGAACTGAGGGACAGCGGGACAGATGAACAGACGGGGCGGGCAGGAGTGACGAGCGGAGCTGTGCGACGGGCAGAGCCAAGACTCTTAAACCCCGAGCCGGGATCAGATAAGGGTTTGTCCGGGGGCCGGGGCCGGGGTCGGGCCGGCCGGGGGCAGAGTTGGGCCGGGCCGGGCCGCCCCCTCCCTCTGCAGCGCTGGAGCCAAAGTTTGTGTGAATGGAGGGGCCTGGAGGGGGCCGGGAGGCGGGGGCGGGGGGAGAGTAGAGGCCGGCCAATGGCAGAGCGGAGCGCCAGGCCCGAGTCTGGGGATTGGAGGGATTTAGGCAAGGGGCGGGGCGTAGGGGGCTAGGAAGCGCACACAGAGACGGACTAAGGTGCAGAAACACCCAAAGACAGAGACGCAGACAGAGTCCCGGAGAAAAGGAGATGAAGAGACGATACGCGAAGCGATAGAAGCTGAGCTGGCAAGATGACAGGGAAAGAGAGAAAGAAGAAAAGGGAGGTGGCCGTGTCAGAATGGAGGAACCAGGACGAGGGCCGCGGGGGCGGGACTGGGCCCCAGTTAATGAGGTGGAAATGAATTCAGGACGGGCCGCGACTGGGACGAGACTGGCAGACTTGGCCTGGGTTCCTGGGGCTACAGGGCTCTGGCATACCGCACAATTTTCAAGTTATTCGCTGTTCTTTGTGTAGAGAGTGGGGTGCTGCATGTAAAAGGCGCACCAGAAACCATCCCCTCCCTCCCCCACCCCCACCCCCCGACAGCAACTTCATGTGGAAGGAAAAATAAGCTGCAAAGTATGGGAGACACCCAACGCCGTGGAAGGAGAGGGAAGGATCGTTCTACCTAGGGATTCCCTACAAATGTTCAAGGGAAGAGATAACATCTACGTGGGTCCTGGGAATGCAGGGGGTCCAGGTCCAAGGAGGTGGCAGGCAGGACACTTATGGCAGAGGAACTGTGTATGTTATTAAGTCCTGAAGAGAACACACAAGTACACACCGGCTTAGGAAATAGCATCAAACTATTCCCACCCACTAGAGAACCCTCAGCAAGGACTGTTCTCATTACCTGAATCTATGTCTTGAGTGATTTGGATCCACTAAGTCATGTATGGCATGTATTAAATGAGAAAATAGCGACTTCCCACTTTTATTCATAATACTAATACTAATCAATAACCAGTATTACTTACTGGGTTCAGGGTTGAAAGCAGAGAAATTATGTATTTTAGTTTGTATGCAAGTACCTTTCCAAAATCCCTCATTGGGGCTGAGAGTGTAGCTGAGTGGTTGCGTGATCGTGGATTCCATCCGTCACCACCACAGAAAGAAGAATGTGAG